TTCAGTTTAGGTCCTGTTTTGGACCTTTTTGTTTAGGGTTAGAAGAATGGTTGTATACCTTTTAGCACGTCAAATATCTAATCAGATTACTAACATTAACTTGTGTTTTTGGAAATATTAATGTAATATGCATTTCGCACTCTCTGCTCAAAATAGTAGTGAAAGATGGACCCTCTTGCCTGTAAACTAACAAAAACCGCATTAATAAACCACGAACATCTGTGTATTCAATCACTTTCTTGATTTTTCGATTGCCACCTACATTATGACGTACGTGATTCAGTACACGAATGTGTCTTTCTACATGTAGATGTTATTTATTAGGCTAAGCTTAAACCCTAGCATTCTCTTCATTTTTCTTTTGTGATTCCGATTTCATAGGGTGTAATGCATTTTTTATAATTTTTTATATACATATTTTATGTAATTTTTATATAAATATATTTTTATAATTAAGGATGTTACTTTTAATGTAATTTTTATATAAATATATTTCTGAATAGATATGGTAGGGAGATGAGCGGAAGAGAATCCTGAGAAGGGGTACAAGACATGTTTTTGACAGATAATTCAGAAATTAACATCTAACAACCTGGCAACTACCATTACCTTGGTCCCCAGCAAGCTTCCCGTAATTATACTACATAAGAAGAAGAATAAAAACATCATGGAAGTCTACCCAATAAATAAAAGCCAAATGAGAAAATTTGAAGTCTCATTTCAAATTTCCTGCATTCAAAGTGAAAGTAGGAAGTACATTTTAGTCTTCACAATTACTTTTTTATTCCTTAAAAATACACTTACTAGGATTCGAACCATGACCACTTTAAATAAAAGCAAAGATCATAATCAATCACACTAAGTACATTTGTTGTATCTTTTTAAATTAAAAACATATAATCGCAGAGAGGAAAAAACTCTTCTACCATTTCAAATTTCCTCATCCATGAGCGTTTGTAGGAAGGGTAGAATAGGGAGTGTCAATTTTTTTCTTTTTCCTCTATGAAATGGGCCAACTTATCGTACACATGCGAATTTAATCGGTTCCAAAAGTGTCAATTTTTTTCTTTAAGTCCTTTTATTTCTCCGTGGTGGTAAAAAATATTTGAAAAGGGAAAAAGAATACTCCTTTTTATTGCTAAAAAGAAAAAAAATTTAACAATAAACTAATGCATGGATTCTAATGGGCTAACCGCTAATCATAAAATAAAAGAGTTGAATGGGCCTGACCTACACGGGATTTGCCCATCAAGTAAAACAAATGAACATCATAGGTTTGCCATTCTAAAACAAGCTATTTTCTCTAGCAAAATATATATTATGCTATTATTTTATATCTTAGTGGCTAAAATATAATTTATTTTAAAGTTATTCAATGGTTCAACCTCGACCAACCTTATTAGTCCAATTTTTATCATTTTAAATATATATTATGTAATTATTTGATATCATAATGATTAAATTATAGTGTATATTATAGGGAATCGTTTGGTATTTGTTAGTAAAAAACTAAACATAAAGATCTATTTGGTTTTTTTTAACATTAAAACGATCCTAAACATTTTCAGTTTCCTTTCGAAATTCTATAGTTTTATTCCCAAATCAGTGATGTGCAAATGGCGAATTGCAGTCATCTCTTTTCTTTCATTATTTTTTATTTTCAAATAGAAAATTTAAAAGTAAAGAATAATTAGAGTTTGGCATGGGTCGGTCAAACAAGCTGAATTTCAAGTTTTGGCTCGTTTTGATCAAGTCTAATTTATAATCACATGGTTCCCTGATACCCGATAAATATCTCAATCCAAACCAGTTTGAGTCCGTGTTTACCACCATTTTCTAGGGATACAGGATCGATGGTTCCTATCCCTAATTTTGTTATTCATTCTTGATTACTTTATATTTTATCATGGCTTGGCAAAAAACAGAAAGCACAATAATGACAAGAGGAAAGTTTTATAAAGCAAATTAATCGGCCAACGGGCCGAGTAAAAGCTAGCAACGATTGTGAGATGCTCATTTCCCGAAAACTGGTGGGATAGGCGATTTTTTATTCGATTGACTAGAATTCGGTTTCAATAAAACTTACTCCACCTCATCATATTACCAGAAACAATATTGTTTCACAAGGTAACAGGTACTTGATTCTGGTTCCTAAGGCTGATTTTTGAAACGTTGCATCATTCATGTCTCTTTCCTACTAAAATTCACTAATTTTATCACGTGTTTCCAAAAAAACAATACAACAATAAACTATACACCCGATTACATTTGCAAATTTCATACCTCACCTTCCTCCGGACAAATGGCCGGGACCCACGCTACTGGGAAATTATTTGGCAAAATAAAGTCGCGGCAAGAATTATTTATTTGTATAAGATAATCGCTTTCAGGAATGAATGAATGGAAAAAATATTTTTAAAAAACTTAAGTTTCCTTATTTATTGTGGTAGGTCACACCCCTAACTGAATTGTTACTACTTATTTCCCAGCCATAAATGACTTGGCCTAACTAACACCCTCGTTTAGTTTCACAATTCATAAGCCGCGCGTTACTGAATAGAATTCAGATAAACTAAAACATGCAGCAAGTTTAGATATATTATCACTATTATTTTTTTTATGGTAATGTCTATTTTTTATCCAAACTTTTTTCATATTCTTTTATTTTATTCAAACCTATTAAAATGTTATTAATTATCCAAATATTTTGAAATGAATCAAAATTTTAGCCATTTTTACGATATCATTAATAATTTAATAAATCTTTTCTTAGTGAAAATACTAAAATATTGTAATGTTGACCTTCATTTGTCTCTTCCAAATCAGTATCATGTTGCCAAGTCAATATTACTAACAAAATTGTTAACTGGAAGTTAACATTTGATTAATTCTTAGTATTTTGATAGGTTTGGCTAATAAAAAAGAATCCGAAAAAGATTTAGTAAAAAAACGACATTGCCCTATTTTTTATAACAAGGATCTCGATACAAAATTTTGGATATTCGATATTTATGATTGTTGAGCAAACAATGTGAGCGTTCTTAAGATTAGTAGATTGTGATAAGTATTTTGATGAGGAAGATAACCATGAAGACAAAATGTTAGATCAAGGAACCCTGCAAAGGTCCAAATCACCAAATTGATTCTTGTTCAACGTGGCTCCACGAGTTTCATGGTTTTGCAATCAAATTGAAGTTCTATTTTTGACAGCTAAAAATAAGTAATTGCTTTAAGTAAATTAAATAAATTAAAATCCAAATACAGATCCATAAACAAAATTTCATACTTAAATTACCAAACTAGCCAACTTCTTTTCGTATGACATTGTGCTTAATTGAAATTGTGCTTAATTTATGTTGAACTACCTAATCATTGTGCAATTTTTTTTAAACATAATTAAGAACCAACCAAAATTTGTAAATTAATAGCAATTCCTTTTGCAAAGTAATATAAATAAATATATAATACAACTCAAGGTAAGAAGGTGGAGGAATAAATTATCCGAACCCTACAACTTGACCTAATAAAACCAATATGTTAATGTACTTAAGAATCAACAACTTTAACCTAACTCAAGGAATGATTATGGACGTGATTCATGGTTATTTCTCAGATGGGTGAGTAGCTGTCCGTAGAACAAGTTTGTAAGGATGTGGTACCAGATTTATATATGAGATTTATCCAACAATGGAAGTTATTAAAATTAGTTTATTTATGATATTACAGTCTAGTTTGACCATTACCATCAAAATGAGAGAGCAAAATTTCGGTCCCAAAATCGGAAAATCTAAATTTTTAATGAATTGATATATTTGAATTACCGAAAAAAAATCAATTAGAAATAAATTGATAATCTGATTAGAATAATCAAATGGCCTGAGGGTTCCATAGTAAAATTTGAGGAGGTTAGAAAAAAAAAAAGGAGCTTTGATTATTCCAATTTCCAAGTATGATCAATAGGGAACTGTGGGCTTCTACAGAAGTCCAAAAAACGAAGCCCAATAGTACTTAGAATTATGAATATGACTGGGCGGCTGGGCCCACAGGAAAGCCACCTCTTACTCTTCTTCTTATCATTATCAATCCGACCCTTCCCCGGCGCAATGTGTATCGTCTAGCTTGTCCATTTCCTTTCCCACCTTCTTTTTCACTCTATTTCCCAGTTTTACTACTCTCTACTTCTTCTTTTCCATCTTTTAACTGTTTTGTTTGTTTTTATCCGGCAATTAACGAATAATTATGTCTTCTGATGATCTCTGTGCTCTTATTAGAGTTGGGTGCCTGCCGGATGCCGGGAGGGTTCCCTTTCATTTTGTCCATATATACAGTTTCAAGTTAAAACTGTAAATGAGACTACTACAGTATTAAGTGTTGTGAACTTTAACTTAAGTGCACTACTTTTCATCTCAAGCATTGTAGGTATAATATGATTATCTATATCGTAGCAAAATAAATATTTTCATAATTGAATCAATTATTAGTCTACCATATAAAAAAAGTTCGGTAAACACCAATTGGATAATTAAAAAATTAATTCCCTTAGCACTTTTGTTTTATAATCTAATCTATAACGATTTTGTATATTTCGTATCTGATTATTTTGTATTTTCCTTTCAGAATACCTTTGAGAGGGAAAAAAAATCATTCTAATTTTAGCTATTTAAATAAAAACTCATGTCATGTATAATATGAAAGAAGTGTTTATACTTTATAGGGAAGGAACTAGCTACAGGTAAGGAATTCAAGTAACAATGGCACGCTTTAGAGCAAGTTAGATAAATGTTTATGCTTCTACTTCTTCAATTCTTCATATAATTTTTGTGAAAACATTTGCGTGCAGAGCAGAGCTTCCTTCCAAATCGATCATCTCCCCCCCACTTTTCGTGTTGCTGTATATGAATTCTCAAGTTTAACTCCCAATAAACTAAGTGATTAAAACAACTCACTCTTCTATTTTAAAATATATATATGCTTCAACAAAGAAGGACTTGGTTGGAAAGAGCAATTACAAAAGATCAAGTGAAGATTCCCCAGCACTACTTACTTTCAGAAGGGGAAGAAAAAAAAACTTATTTTAAACTTGTCCTTGAATAATTGACAATTTGACAGGCAGCTCCCACCCCACAAGCCCCAAAAAACACATTGAAAAAAATTGGGAAAAAATGAAATATAATTAACCATCACACACACAGCATAACACAAGCCATCCATCTCATCTCCACTCTTCATAAAACCCCTCATTGCAAGAATTCACCCCTTCTTCTTCTTCTTCTTCTGCAATCTCTCTCTCTCTCCTTTCTCTCACTAATAATTTTCATCCCCTTCCCATCAATCTCCCAACTTGCCCGTTTCCGCCCACTCTTCATTTTTATTGTGGAGGGAATTTGCGCGCCGGTAGGGAAGGGGAAGGGGGCAAGCAATCAATCAAATGGCGGGGGAATTTTCTCACCAATATCTAAAACAAACTATTCGAGATTCCTCTGGCGGGGATATCGCCATGGCGGCAGCTCCTCCTCCGCCGCCTCATCTTGAAGAACCAGTCGGCCGCGACAACGGCGGCGGCAATTCGAATTCCGGCGAGATTGACGAGAGGAGCAGCAACAGAGGTGAAGAAGGAGGAGGAGTCGGCGGCGGGCTGAGTGGCGGTAGTTACGGCGGGAACCGGTGGCCTCGGCCGGAAACTATAGCGCTGTTGAGGATAAGGTCGGAGATGGATTCCGTTTTTCGCGACTCCACTCCTAAAGCTCCATTGTGGGAAGAAGTTTCCAGGTAAAAAATTTTGAGCTCCAAAAAGCGGAAAAAAATTCTCTCCCCAGATCCACCCCATCCTAATCTCTCTCTGTCTTCCCCTACCGTAATTATTGATAATCATAATTGTGGGAACAAGTTTCAAGGTACGAAGGGAAGAAGAAGCCCACCATTTCTTTTTTTTTTTTTTTTTTTTTGCAGCACGGAGAACAAATTAAATCACCAGAAGCATAATTTAATACCATATCATTCACTTTAATTTGTCTGTGATGATCCCCACGGTGGGCTTAATTACACGTTAAATTAGTAAAACAAAAAACAAATTGATATGTGTTTAGTAATTTAATCTGTTCAAATTGATGGAAGAGCAGGAAGCTAGCGGAGCTTGGATATCATCGAAGCGCCAAGAAATGCAAAGAGAAGTTCGAGAACGTGTCCAAGTACCACAAACGCACCAAAGATGGCCGCACCGCCAAGCACGACGGCAAGACCTACCGCTTCTTCCAAGAATTGGAAGCTTTCGAAGGCAAGCAGCAGCACCTCCAATCCTCCTCCGCTCCTCCTCCACCGCCGATGCCGGCCGCGTCGGCAGTAATTACTCCGGCATTGCCATTGGCCACCGCTGTTCCAAAAAACAACACAATTCCACATCCAATAATGGCGACTGTTCCATCAGCGCACGGTAACAGTACTACTAATATTGCCACCAGTACTACTACTACTTGCATCAACTTCACCATCACCCCTCCGAGCCATCTCAACCCTACACCTGTCACGCCAGCCGAGCCCATCTCCTCATCCCAGCCGCTCAATCCCAGCCCGCAGAGCGTCTTCCACCCTTCCTACGACCACCGCCACCACAACAATCACAAGGCCGCCGCCGCTGCCGACTCCCACCATCTCTTCTCCAGATCCACCTCCTCCTCCACCGCCTCCGACGAGGAACTCGAGGAGGCGGCCGCCGTGGGTGGTACAACTCCTGCCCCGAATAATAAGAGGAAGAGAAAGTGGAAGGACTTCTTCAGCAAGCTGACCGACGGCGTGATCCGGAAGCAAGAGGAGCTCCAGAAGAAGTTTCTGGAAACCGTCGAGAAGCTGGACCGGGAGCGCCTGATTCGCGAGGACGCGTGGCGCGTCCAGGAGACGGCCCGGATTAATCGCGAGCACGAGGTCCTCATCCAGGAGCGCTCCACCGCCGCCGCGAAAGACGCCGCCGTCCTCGCATTCCTCCAGAAAATGTCCGGAGGCGAAGGACAGCAAATCGCTCCTCCTACCTCTTTTCCTCCTCCACCGCCCCAGCCGCTGCCACCGACGATACAGCCGCAGACCGCGGCAAATACAGTACCATCGCCGACTCCAATTCCTCCACCGCCGCAGCCATCGCCTGCGGCGAGGAGAGAGAGCAGCGTGGCGGCTGCGAGTTCGTCGCGGTGGCCGAAGGTGGAAGTGGACGCGCTGATCGGGCTTCGGACAAGGCTGGATGAGAAGTATCTGGAGAACGGGCCCAAGGGCCCGCTGTGGGAGGAGATATCCGCGGAGATGAAGAAGATCGGGTACAATCGGAGCGCGAAGCGTTGCAAGGAGAAGTGGGAGAACATCAACAAGTACTTCAAGAAGGTGAAGGAGAGCAACAAGAGGCGGCCGGAGGATTCCAAGACCTGCCCCTACTTCCACCAATTGGATGCATTGTACAGGGAGAAGAGCATCGGCAGCACCAAGGCCGGAATCGTAATGTCCTCCGCGGCGGGCGGCGGTGGTTACATCGCGGCGAATCCGTTGAGGGCGGTGGAGCCGGTGGCAGCTGGTATGGCTCAGCTTCAGCCGCAGCAGCAATGGCAGGCTCATCCGGCTCCGCCAGCGCCGCAGCAGCGTAATGCCGAAGAGGAGGAGGAAGATGAGGAGGAGGATGAGGAGGAGGATTATGAAGATTTGGAGACGGAGGACGATGAGGAAGGCGATGGGGATGGCGGCGGCAATGGAGGTGGATTTCAAGTTGTACAGAATAGACCCGTAGCCGCGAACGAACGGTGAGTGAATTTTGAAGAAAAAAAAAAGAGTAAAAAAATCCGGTGTGAAAGAAAACACTTTGGCTGGATTTTTACCGTGGAACTAATACTATACGGTAACGGTGTCGTAGTAGTTTCTTCGGTTTGGTGGTGGCGGAACATTACAATTTGTGGGACGTCAATTATGCCCATACATACACATGGGACAGGGTGGAGGGAACGAGAAATGGGGTTGGTTTTCGTTTTTGGTTTGCATTCCACAGTTGGATCCATAAACAAATTTTTTATTTATTTTTCTGTTCAGTTTTTTTTTTTTTTTCTTCCTCAAATTGTTTGTTGCATAAACCTACCACTCTGAAGAAAGAGAGAGCGGACAGGATGAATAAAGAATATATATACAGAGGAGAGGGAGCGGGGAGTTATTTACTTATTTTCATCATTATTATTACAATTTACTAGTTCTTTTTTATTTATTTTAATTTGGATTTAAGGTTGTGTCCATATAGAGAGATTGGGGGGCAGAAGGAAAAGAGGAAGAAATAAAAGGGAGAATTTCCAGTGATGTATCTGTCTGTCTTATCTTTTCTTTTATCAACTGGGTTTGTTAATGGTGCTTAAATAAAATGTTGAGAAATTATCAACATGGAAAATGATGAAAATCTTGAGAATTGCAAAACACAACGAGAAAATTAGAAAACGCCAGATTTCCAAACTTTACTTAGCTAGCCCGAGCCCTTTCCTTTTTCGCAACACCCAACTTGTACAATAAGGGCTAATTACATCAAAATACAATCAAGACTAAGAGTCATTTGGTTTTGGTGATATTTAAATCAATGCATTATGGACCATGGTCAATGCATGCTTTGTAATATACATGCAATTAACGAAAATGATGTAATGTACTTTACATTGTTTGGTTTTGGTGATAGTTCTTTTTAGTATTCAACATGTTATTTTACTTTTTGTGAGAAATGTCACTTTTGCCCTTGCTTTTCTGAGAACATATACATATAACTAGGGGTATACTTGGAACAAAAAATGAACCCAACAATCTCCTCAAAACAATCTCAAGTTGTAGTAGAAATAGTACTATCACTCATTTTGAGTGATAGTTTCCATCACATCAAGCAAACAATGCATGTATTGTTTGTGCAGAAAATTCAAAAAACAATGTATTGTAACTATCACAACCAAACTATCACCGAAACAAAACCACCCTAAAGTAGCACCAATCTCTACTCTACATCTTAATCATTTTAATTTTATCGGATGTCCTTTATTCTATCGAGTTAGTTTGCAGCAATCTTCTTTCTCGTTGCAACTAGTGCATTCCGTTGGGAAAATGTCTAGTGGGGGTATCCTTTAACAACTTATGAAAAATCATCTCCCAAAGCACTTATTATTACCTTTTTACTCGAGTAAAACCTTCTTTTTTTTTTTAAACTCTCTGCCAACAATCCAAATTTTACTACACAACGTCTCTGTGGTTCTTTATAGTTAATCATACGCTTTAGCATATCTAATAATATCCTACCACGTTAATTAATTATATAAATCAGGTATGTATTACAGTAAAATGTATATTAAAATTGGTAGTGGGGCGACATTGTAATGTGACAGGACTGTGTTGTGTGTATGTTTTTAGAAGGGCAGCTTTGATTATGAATGATCGGGCTGGGCATTTCACTGAGAGGGGCCCTCTCTCCCTATTCCCCTTCTCTAACATGCCAAACCATCACATGTGTGCCAGCTAATACGAATCTTCTTCTTTCAGTTATTCCAATCAATTCCCTCCCCAACGACCCGAGTCGTGACGAGTTTTGAACTACAGTAATTTGAGTTTGGCTCTTTATAAACAAGTTGAGCTATAAACGAGTCGAGTTCGACCTCGGTTTGTTTACGAAAATCATGGTTTGTACTTGACTCTAATTCGATTCGAATTCGGCTTATTAATGAGCTCATGAGCTCTAATCGAGATCGGCTTATCAATTAAATCGCAAGATCGACTTGAGTTTAGGTAACTTATCATAAATTTTAATTGTTCATGTCATGTTATTTAATTGTAATTTGTATATGAGCAATTTATGTTACATAATTTCTCTTTTAAATTATAAACGAGATATATGTGATACTGTGTTTAATTCTTAAGTATCATATGTGGTGAGATATATAATCTAACAAACATGTGAATTATCAACAAGTCAAGGACAAACTATTAATCGACTCTCTCATATGTTTCTAGTTGAGGTGGCTTGCTAGTCATACTGTCGAGTCAACTCATAGTTGAAAACGAGCTAGCTCACGAGTTCGGCTCAACAAGCCACTGAGTTGAGCTAGCTCGGGAGCCATACAAACCGAACAAGACTTAAATCAAACTGACCTTATTAGTAAACGAGTCAAATGCCGGACGAAATTTTCTCGAGCTGAATACCAAGCCATTGTTGACTCATTTGCCGCTCTACCTCCCTCCCTATCTTTTGGGCTGTCCATAGAACTTGCAATTTTTCCTTTTTTTTTCATCAACAAAAAAAGTAATGTTTCAAATATAAAGTGGAGGGCTTGGGCTTCCACTTGTTTTTTTTAATATTTTTATTATCCTTTTGGTGTGTCCAATTAATACGATGGTGTTGACTTTCGATTCTACAAAGAGCTGAGGGGTGAGAGCCCCTAATGTATGGATTTAAATTGGATTATTTTGTTTCCTCATATCTCATCCATCAAACAACTCATCCTTATTATCCACAGCATAAGTAATTAGTTCCACAACTTTGGATAATATATTAAAGTAGTGATAATATATGGGAGTGCTTACCATACACTGCTCCCATTTTACACTATGATTGCATTTATAAAATAACTCACCCTTTTTTACCATTTTTGTGGCCAGCTTTGTATGTCTGAGTTGCTTTTACCATTAATTTGAGTATTTACAGAGATCAATATATCATTAGATAAGTGTGTACTGTTAGGAAAATTTTATGACATGCGATAAAAAATTCAGCTTGTTTTAGATGAATCCAAATAAAACGATATTGTTAGAAATTGCTACATTGAAGACTGGTTAGTGAATTCTTCATTGTGATTATTGCTAGCTTTGACTCGTGACGAAACTAGTGTTTCAACTGAACTGTGATCTTGTTGACAATGCCACATAAACGAACAAACCATTTTACGATACCGGTTATCTAGTAGGGTTGCAAGTTGCCAATTTATTCCCCCTGAGAAGAACAAGCATATAAACATCCAACTAAGTATGTTATTTTAGTAACCCTAAGGTTTAGGTAGCCTGAGATGGGTACATTTTTGCGAATTGTCATGAAAAGTTTGCTATTTAAAGAGAGCCCGATAGTATTTTAATGGTCATGGTCTCATTATATATATATTTTTTATATACTTATATTTGTGATCTCGATTGTTTCTGTTGTGAAGTTGAGACAGTCACAGAAGTGCATGTGTGCTTCTTTGAGATTTTAGCTCCTGTAACTATCATGGCCACAGTAGGCAAAATTTAAGAGGCAGAAACCTGTCCTTATCCTTGACAGAAACTTTCTTTCAATTCCCTTTATCTACATGTCTGATAACATTCATATACATCATACTATAGAGATATCTTCTTGGACTGGATAAGGTTACATTTGAACCCACCACAACCCAACTTCAGTGGCAGCATCTATATATATAATTTTCTCAATGGATCTTATTTAGACAGAATTATGGTGCATATGTCCAATCCAATAATTCAACTTCGATCTTATAGCTCTATTAATAGCCAAGGAAACACTTCCTCTAAATAATAGATTGTGCAAAACAAACTGACAGCCAAAAACCTATTGTGCTAATCCGATTTCTTATCACTTATTTTCTATAAAATTTTAAGGTCCTTTAAGTGGTTTAGGATTTTCTATGAGACCGGATAGGGCGCTAATACAGTTAAGTGTTTGCATCATTGTTACACTTTTACTAAGAGCATTATGGTAACTACTCATTTTTCTCTTTCTCTTTCCCTCCTCTAAGTTGCCTTTTGTAGTGTTTTATTCACAAATTACAGTTTTGATACTTGAACTTAATAGATATTAATATTTAGTACCAAAAAAATTAATTTTTTTAGATTCGAATCCTAAAAATATTGGTGGAAAATTATATTTTATTATCGGTAGTTTTTCATTCTTACATTTTGGTACCTAAACTTTTTAAAATTTAGAAACAGGTCCACTACTAAAGAAATTTCTAGTGAGCTTTGAAAAACTTCTAGCATGCTTTGAAGTTCTGACCTACTTTGAGGAGGTTCTAGCCTTCTTAAAGGAGGTTCTGACCAACTTTAAGGTTTTGACATGCTTTTGAGGTTCTTACCTACTTTGAGGAGATTCTGACCTACTTTGAGGTTTTGGCCTATTTTGTGGAGGTTCTGACATACTTTAAAATTTTGGCTTGCTTTGAGGAAGCGAGTATTAGCACGGTGCTAACAAAAAATAGTCTTACCACCCTAACCAAGTACATTTTCTGTGATTTTACTCGTATAGTGATATTAAACACTTATTTCTTTTTTGAAAAGAGGATCATTGAAGACAAAATACTGCAGGGCTGCTCTAGTCTCCACCATCGAAGGAATTTACCTGGAATTATTTGTAGATGTAATGAGTATTTGAACTTTTTTCATAGATAAATATCTTTAATCACCTCTTTTATTGAAGAAATAAATCTACCACCCACAAAAGTAAGGTCTGCCATTTTTCTCTTTAACTGGATTGCCTTCGAGACATAAAATTAGGAAAAGAATTGGACATCTCAGCTCTTTCCTTTTTTTCAAGCAAAGGTCGAAATTACTCAACTGCTTAAAATAATGAAATAACTAAAGAATTGAATTATTAAACACTTGCTCAGTTTGGCCATGCTGTAAATTTTGCAGAAACAGCTTCTGACTTGAGATTTTAGAGAAGTACTTTTTAAAAAAAGCAGTTGAGTGTTTGGATAAAAAACTATTAAAATTTCTTTTTAATATGAGAAGTTGTGTAAAATGACTATAAAGAACTTATAATATAAACTATGAATAATAATTCTAAACAATAACATATAGTCAAAATGGATCTTGTTAGACTTCTTTATATTAAATAAAATAATTTTATTATTTATTTTAGTTTTAAAATGATATAAATGAAAGAAAATAATATTTTATGAAATAAAATTAAAATATGGTAAGGATAATCTTGTATTTTCAAAATATTTTTTCGTAGAAGCTCCAAATCGGAGCTTCTGCTTTTATGTTATACAAAAGCTCTTTTCGGCTTTTCAAAAGCCGAGCTTTTAGAGGTGTTTGACCATATTTCAGCTTTTGAAGCCGAGAAGCACTTCTAAAAGCCGGGCCAAACATATGCACTATAGTCTATATAGTTGCGTTTAACAACCGGTCAAACTGGGGTTTCATACGCGTTGGACTGCTTTGTAAATTTAATTTAAATGAAATATTTGAATTCATACTTCATTTAAACACAATTAATTGTTAATTAATAGTAACAGTCGAACATGAGTCAAACCTTGCCTGGACCGATGGTTAACCGCACTGTAGTTGTGTTTGACTCGTGTTTAACTTTTTGGTTAATTTAGTTTAATTTAAAATTTATATAGATTAAATTTATTACGAAGAATTTTACTTTAAATTGATCATAAATCATTTATATTTCCTTGAAATGTAGTTAAATTAGTTAATATAAAGTAATTCTAAAAAGCCGAGCTTTTAGAGGTGATTGACCATATTTCAGCTTTTGAAGCCGAGAAGCACTTCTAAAAGCCGGGCCAAACATATGCACTATAGTCTATATAGTTGCGTTTAACGACCGGTCAAACCGGGGTTTCATACGCGTTGGACTGCTTTGTAAATTTAATTTAAATGAAATATTTGAATTCATACTTCATTTAAACACAATTAATTATTAATTAATAGTAACAATCGAACATGAGTCAAACCTTTCCTGGAACGATGGTTAACCGCACTGTAGTTGTGTTTGACTCGTGTTTAACTTTTTGGTTAATTTAGTTTAAATTTTATTTACTATCATTTAAAATTTATATAGATTAAATTTATTACGAAAAATTTTACTTTAAATTGATTATAAATCATTTATATTTCCTTGAAATGTAGGTAAATTAGTTAATATAAAGTAATTAACATCATAAAATCTTCATAAATTTAGATTGAAATTGAATGGATTGCTTAGTTAGATTAGTTGAATATATTTAGGTTTTAGAAATATATGTAAAATTCATAATTGAAATGATCGTATAGTATTTAACATGATAAAATGGTTATACAATTTAGAATTAAATTGATTAGGTAGAAATTTTGGTTGAATATATTAAAATTAGTTAATATTTTTATAAATTAGATAATCTACAATTTTAGCTGAATGTATTGATATTAATTGAAAGTTTATTTGTATTTAGAATTAAATTTATAAGATATTCAAAAATTCTAATAGTAGTATTGTATGTTTATGTAAATGTCGGGAATTGGAAAATCTGAAACCATTAAGGATCGAATGAAAGATAGAGCTTGTAGACTTATGACAACTCACCGAAAATAAAATGAAGATAAAAAATCTTGTAAGGTTCGGGAGAATTAGAGGATTCTCCCCTACTCCTAGTCGAGGCACTCCAACTCCTACGTAAGAATTAGTGGATTCTGTATGGATGATCTTATTTCGAGTGACGATGATTCTGACGTTGATGATGGGGGAGGATTCACCTCAGTCTTAGTTTCGGGGATACATTGGAGCTCCAAGGTCTTCTACTTCCTCTATGACATGTGGTAGATATGATGGACACTTCCAGGCGGCACTTGGGGCTCATTAGTGTGATCATCCTAAGAAGAGGGAGAAGAGAGCCAACTAAGAATTTTTTGGCTTCTTATGACCGATTCGGTAGTGTGACGAGCAAACTAATGATTCACGATATGATTCCAAGTTTTGGTGGTCACGTGGCTCATATACTATGGACATCGCCTGAGCAGGATTGTAAGTTCTTGCTTGTTACCAACAGAGTGCAACATTTGAACACTTTGAAGAAATACAAGTAAAGTATAGTGGGTTCTCAGAAAATGGTTTAGACCACATGGTTGTCTCATTTGATCGATTGCACGAGACCCAATTTAGATGATGGCCTTCGTAGAGAGGTGGCAGTCGGACACCAACACCTTCCACATGTCATTTACATAGATGTCTATCTTGTACACGATGTTAACTACATTCTCCATATTCTAGTGGACAGAGCATTGTTGAGGTATGACTCGCCACAACCGGAGGCTATGAAGGCATACTTGTGCAATCTTATTACAGTAGGGGACTTGGATCGAACTGTTGGTGGTGAGTGGACTACTAGGTGGTATCATACTGATGGCATGCGTGGATTGGGTGCATTGATGTGTGCTATTGAGCTTCAAACAAAGGAATTTGAGGTGCAGTGTTACTTGTTTTTTGTGCTAGGGTCCATAGTTTTATGGACAAGAGTTGGGATCACATTCGTCATGTTTGTTAACTTGTATTTTGAAGAACTACCATGACGCGGGGGTACGCTTGGTGAGGTGGTGGGTATTTGACCCATCTGCATGCTTGGATATATGAGTACTTCCCCGAATTTTGTTCGATTAGGGTGCATCAGCAGTCTCCAGATGACCCTCATATTTCATTGTCGATGTGCGGTCATTTGAGGGATAGAAATGATGATAGAGCCGTTTGGTATGCTATCGAAGCATGCTTTATGTCATGTATGCGAATGATGTGACTTCAACACAATACAGATGACAAGCTAGTACAAAGGTACTACATTTTTTGTACAATGGCATCACCTGATTTGTTGATGTGGTTAAGGGTTATGATCCTTGAAAGTGTTTTTCACAGTTCAGAAACGGATAAACAATTCTATGACCCATGATGACACTCGATGACAACTTTCAAACAAAATCTGCCAAGGGCTACATTGTCATATGGTCTCCTCGCTACAACCAGTTTTGGACCAATTGGGAGGTCCATAGGTGGTCGTTGGAGACTTTATTTACACCATGTGAGCGCTCGTCAAATTCACGGACAACTATCGAGCTCGTTCCCACCCACTGATCGGCTCAGCTTTACTGCATAGCATCAGCAACGCCATGATTTGATTAGTATTTATTATATTATGCAACTTTAATAGGCATTAATTCACGATTAAGTCATTCTAACACTCGTTTATTTTTCTGGGAAAACTCTGAGGCAGGCTATGCAAAGGCTTCACTCTTTCTACATGAGAGGGCTCATAGTCATTTCACATAATGCATGAACGGGTGGCGGGAGTTATGCAGTTTGTGTGACAATCTATTTGACTAGTAAGAGAGAGGAACATCCCTACTAGAGATCACTAGTAATGCATGTGATGTAGAGTTCGTTCAGAAGTTGTGATTGTTTTTGTTAGATTGTTACTATACTTGCATCTTTTAGAATGCTTAATTTTTTAGATTTTTTAGCACGAAATACATGGATTGTTTATGTGATGTGACAGAAAGTATCACTTAAAATGAGTGATTGTTATATCTCAGCTTTTAGCTGAAATTGTTGAGTTGATATTGTTTTGTCCAAACTTTTAGCTAACGTGACATACACAATCTCACATATCAAAACATTGTATTTTATAATGCATAAATTACATCAATACATCTATTACAATCTCAACTTCAAATAACCTGGTAGTTGGTTGTTACTATTTATCTGAACATTTATCTATGTTTGTGTTTATCGTACCATGTGTAAAAACATTGAACTATGTTTTCTATTTGTGGGGTCCCCCGAGTATTGAATGATTTAGCATGAGATGAACTTCTACTTATATTTAGGGGTGGCAGTCGGTCGGTTTTGGTTTAACCAAAAACCGAATTATCGATTTTCGGTTAAACCGAACCTTCCCCATATCTGCCGACCACCGACCGTGAGAGAAGTCGCGGTTAGCCGACCACCGACCGACCGATTTTTGGTTCTGGTTCGGTTATACCGGAACAACCGAATTTATTAAAAAAAAAAGGAAAGGAAGTAAAAAACCCAATACCCACCCCACCCACCTCTTCTCCTCTCCTCTCCCTACCACTTAATTCTTATCTTCTTCCTCCTTCTCTCTCCTTCTCTCTCCTGCCTTCCTCCAAAAAGAACCACCAGAGGGCAGAGATAAGCCCTTTTCTTCCTTCTCTCTCCTTCCTCCATTTCAAACCCACAAGCCACAACACCCGATCACTCCTTCCTTCTCTCTCCTTCCTTCCTTCATTTCAGATTTAGACACCACGGCGGCCGGTCGCGGAGGAGAAGCAGAGGCACACCGGCGGCCACGAAGGAGAGCGAAGGGAGACATCCCCGGCGCAGGGAGAGGCGAAAATGGAGAGGGAAGGGATGGCGATGGGAGACGCGCGGATGCCTGGGATCGTCGGGGATGGGAGATGGCGATGTCGGAGAGTAATCGGCGAGGAGAAACGATGCTATCTCTGGCTCTGGCTCGCGGTGCCCGGTCGTCGAGGAGGGCGGGGAGGGGAGACGGAGTCATCGGGGAGGGTGGCTGGAGTTTGGATGGCGGAGGGCGAAGGTAATGGCAGAGCTGGGCTGGGATTTGAATGGCGGAGGGCTGGGATTTGAGTACGAAGAAGAAAGAATTAGGGTTGGGGTTTTATTAAAAGGATGGTTGGTCGGTTATGTTCGGTTAGTCGGGTAACCACGGTTAATCATCCTCGGTTACTAGGCTAGCCGAAAACCAGCTTTATTCTACCGAACACCGACCGAGGCAAATAACCGTCGGTTTTCGGTTAGCTACTAACCGATGGTTATCGGTTGAACCGGCCGATTAGCCGCTAACCGGAAACCGAACTGCCACCCTAAGTTATATTTCATAACTAAAGAATCATCAATGAATGCTAAAATTTATAGGCTCGTTACTTCTATTAATCAACTTCATGGGTTCAAACTATCATAATATGTCGCTACTCCAAGAAAAATTGATCCCAACCATGCACGTTCACCTTACAATGAGCATCTCAAGGATTCACAAATGGAGGCATTGGTAGTCTATCTTGACCAAAGTCAACTCTCACCCAGTGATCGCCTTTGAAATGTAATGTCAGAATACTACGAGGTCCTCTTACGGTCTTACCCCTGAAGGATCAAGCAAAGGCAAAATGTTGTGTCAGATGCCCTCATATAAGACAAGATATCCCATGAATCGCTCTCCAAGGGTCCCTAGGGTCCGGGAACAACCTGAGAGGAGGAGGAGAGCAGGCGGGGGATATAAAGGCTGAAACTCGAGTTTTAGGGCTAGTTTTCAGCAAAATATTAATTTTTATCTTGGTTTTGAGCTTTAGACTTGAACTTTTCTCTGTATCAATTAGACCTGGCAACCGGGTCGGGTTTGGTAATTTTGGTTTGGGAACTTCGGTTACGGGTCGGGTCATGTTTGGTTGGCTTATTTCGGGTCAAATATTGACCCAACCCATTAGGTCTCGGGTCGGGTTACAGGTCATTTCTGGTTATGAGCGTTTTCGATCAGAAACAATATCAAACATGCTTCATATTTCCTTAAAGAACACAAATTTTCACATATGCATGACAATAGTTTACCTAACACATGTCAATTAACATATTCTCAAATCCTCCCACGCTAATGAAATGAAATATAAATTGCGCAAATCGTCAAAAAAACAATCACAAGAGTAATACTACTACAAGAAACACATGATATTTGATTATCCTTAAACTCCAAACATGTCATTCAAATCCTTGTGAGTTTTTGTAAACATCTCACCAATTTATGAGTGATTTTATCATATTTTGGGAATAATATATTAAATAAAACGGGTCTAACGGGTCGACCCGCTAACCCACCCAACCCGACCCAAAAAATCACGGGTTATCGGGTTTGGGTCATTGGGATTTCGGGTTACAAAAATTTCTAATTTTCCGGCTGTTTCGAGTCGGGTCAACGGGTCGGGTTGTAATTTGCCAGGTCTAGTATCAATCAAGTTTTCCCCCTTGATTGTGGTCGAGATTATATCTTTTTATATTGATTGAGACTTCTCCCCAATGTTGTCAGAACCGAACCGGAGTATGACCCGCTAACGTGAACGACTAGGTCTTTAGTGGTCCAACCAGCATTAGACCGTTTAAAAACCGTTTGAGAACCGGTACCTAATAAACAGTCATCTATATAAATAGTAGACACTTCTTAATCATGTATCAGTTCCCACCCAACTTTTCTCCATAGACAATTAACTTCAATATATTTCTCACTTTTTTTTTTATGAAGGTGAAAAGCTTTATTAAGGAAGGAGAGTTCAAAGCTGTACAAAGGAGATCAGGAGGGATGATCTCTCTGACAAAAGAACCAGAAGAGAAAAAGAGAGAAAACCAGCAAACAGTCCAAACCCAAACAGAAAGGGAGCAGGGGAAAAGCAAAGCAAAGGATCCAGCTGTCTGAACCAGAAAAAAATCCTACTCCTACACAAAAAGGGACCTGGCCCCTGGAACAAATGTAATTTACACAAGCAAAGCAGACATGATGTAGAGAGCTACCCATCACTGGAAATTTGTTCTTGTCCATTGCACGTACCTGAGGGACTCTCGAAACTTTAGTTCCCAAATACCCAATCTGAAAGTTACTCTTTCTTTTTCGTGGTTCTTATCAGTTTACAATTTGTTCATGAAATTTGACAACCAACAACAGAACCAGTTTCTAGTTTCCTTAACTCATTCTTTGTTAGCTAGATGTATACTACAGATGGAAAAGACATGATGACTATGTGATGCAGACAGGTAATAAGGAAAGCTCACGAAAGAGAAAGCAAGTATACACAGTAATAACACCGGCCAAATTAACAAGAAAGTCGCAGCCATTCAGACCAAATTAGAATCAAGAGGAGGAAATCTACAGCGCTATTCTATGGATATCATATACACAGAGACATGAGGAAGACAAATAGAAAGTAGACAGAAAAAGGAGAACAGGGGTTATTAGAAACCTGGAAGCAGAGTGTCGATGGACAGCAGGGGTCGATGCAGGGGAGAGGCAGCCGTGACCGGAGAAGGGAGAAGGGAGACCTCACCGGCCGGCCGTTGCGCTCATCGGCAGGAGCGGGGAACGAGCCGCCGAAGACGACGACGACGATGGCGACGGGGGATGGCGTCGGGCGATGGCGAACGGCGACGGCGTCTGGCGATGGCGAACGGCGACGGCGTCGGGCGACGGCGTCTGGCGATGGCGAACGGCGACGGCGTCGGGCGATGGCGAACGGCGACGGCGTCGGGCGACGGGGAACGGCGGCTGCAGAGGAGAAAGCTGCTTCTCCTTCGTGTCTGGCTGTCTGCGCGAAGAGGAAGAAATGAAATTAGGGTTTCAGCACAGCAGCCTCCCCTTTCATTTTCGATATTTTAGTTTTTTTTTAATTAATGCAACCGGCCCAAAGGTTAAAAACCGGGCGAGCGCTTCGAGCGGTTAACCGCTTCGGCTGCTCTCCGGCTGCCCCAAATAACCACTCCGTCTAAATAGTTGAGTCGAGCCGGTTTTATGGCCGGGTGGCGGTTTTGGCGGCTCGGCCGGCCGGCTCGGCTTTGACAGCACTGCTTCTCCCAATTTTTGTTGAGATTGCACTTTCAATTTCATCATATCCCTATCGTTTTATCCATGTTCTTATCTGCATTACGTTGATAACCACTTTTATATTTACAAGTGGCTTGTCGAATTCCTTCTGGTACTTCATAGTCAGTGATTAATTCATAGAATGGGATGTAAAGATGTGGGTGGCCTTCAAGTTCCTCCACAAAATATGTCTCGTCTGCCCCTAATAATCTTGAGACGTGAGTGCATGTGATATGAACAATACCCATAGGCTACAATTAGGGATGGCAATTTCGACCTGACTCGATTTACCCAACCTGTTTGACCTATTTTGGGGTGGGTCAAACCCGCCCCGTAGGCGGGTTTGAGCGGGCATGGGTACCTCTCATCGACCTGACCTGCCCTGACCCGCCCCATTCTTGACCTGTTCTTGCCTAAATTACATATAACATTAGTCAAATTACTTAAGATTTTCCTCTTATTACATTATATTTTAGCTATCATAAAGTTGTAAATAAGTGAAAACCTCAATTTCTTCAATAATTTAACTACATTTTCTCATATTATTGTTTCTTTCTTGGTCTTTCAATGAAAAGAACGAATATTTCTACTGTTTCTCACATAAATTACATACCCAATGGGTCAACCTGCCCCGACCTGCGTCTTGTGATAAATTAACCGATCTGAACCCGACCTGCCATGGGGCGGGTATGGATATCGAGATACCCGCCCCGAACCTGCCCCATTACCATTCCTAGCCACAACGACCATTACCATCAGAATTAAACCAACCACAAAGAACGAATTTCACACCATCCCCAATGTTTTTTTTTTTTCTATATGGGTAATCCTTCCACCTTTTACTCTGATTGGCAATCCTACACTGGGCACCACCTATACAAATGTAGTGGGGAAACATTGAGTAAACTAAAAGGTACATTACAGTTAAGAAAATCAAGTAACTAAATCACTTGAGATTTGGATATGTATTAGCTTCCCACTCATCTTTCCTCTGTATGGGTAGATTGTGAGTTTACACCTGTATCTTGCCTCTAGGACCCTGTCGGTGCATCATCTATCCAAATGTATAAAAAAAAAAAAAAATGCTACATTCAGGAAACCTAACAATCCATCTAAACATGCTAAATTCAGGCAACTAACCGTCAATCTAAACATCCTAAGTTCAGACAATCTCACCATCCATCTAAATATTCTAAGAAAACGTTCCTTGAAGTATATGTCTTCATCGAATGATCGGGCTTAGGGTGAGCACCATTAGGCTCATCGATCCCATCTTCCTCAAAATAAAGGTGGCTTCATAGTAAACTAGTGGCTCCTGAAATTGTTGAATCATCTCTATAGAGAACCTCCTCTGGCATCCTCTGGAAAGTCTTGGAGATTGTAAAAATTATGGTCTTCTCTTGCTTCATGATTGAGAGGCTCTCGATAATTCAAAGTGGATCAAAACTTGACCCCTTTAGGTTTTAGGTTTAGAGATTTCTATGATGACTAAGAAATTCTATGTAATGGGTTAAGAGAGTACCAATCCTAAGGTTTCTTTATATAGACCCACCATCAGGGTATATTAGGAAATTACCTTTCATTAACCTAACCAATATATGACTTGCCTTATATATTAAACCATTAAGTGATAATTACACTTGTGCCACAATTATTCCCTAGTGACATACCGGAATTGGGCTTACAATGGGCTTACAAGTTGGCATGCAGAATTTGAAGTTGGCATGCAGAATTTGAAGTTGTGAATTTATGTATTTATGCTTCCAGTAACCTCGGTTTTTGTTCTCCCTTTCCTGGAACGAATGAAAGAATGCAAGGAATAGAGTTCATGTTCATGCGATGCGAATGGAGGAGCCTCTGTTTGTCTCCGGACATTGGTTTTCTTTCTGTCCAAGACAGGGGTCCAGTTTTTTAAATACTGTCATCCCATGATTTTGTTGGTTATTGATCTCGGTAGTCGATACTGTTCTGGATTCTGGAAATTTGGCGGTTGTTATTTTCTTTACTTGCATGGACTAATTATCGTGCATTTAACCATCTTATGTCATTTCTATATATTTATTTGTGGCGTATATATGTATCTATATTTTTGTCTGCCATTGGAAGGGGAAAAAAGGACCTTTGGTTCAATTGAAAAGCAGTGGCTTTTGGATATGAAGCAATGGCCGTTGGGCATGAAGCAAAACATTGTGTGGAATGCATGAAACTGCTTGTCTCCTCACTACTGGTTCGTTGGTTACAGGAGAAGGGAAAGAAGCACTCGGCAATCATTGTGGATGTCGGGTAATTACTCTGTCCTTTTTTTTTAATTTGATGCCATTCTAGAATATATGATTGTATATATCATATATGGTTTTGGCTCTGATATACGAGACTTTGTATAGATTTGAATTCCAAGTAGTTGAAAAAAATGCAACACTTTGGTTTATGTAACCAAGTTGTTTGTGTTGTGATCTTGGAGGGAAATGAAAACAATGTGGTCATATTTCCTAACATGTGATCGACCACCAAGTTTTAATGTGTTCATCGCATTTGTCTAATTCGTTTATGTGGAATGGATGAATAATAAGTGTGACAATTTAATATTGGTACATTTTCGTTCGAAGAGTTGCATGAGAGGATAGAAGGACCTAAACTTCGATATGCTAAAGTGTTCCACAAATTATGTATCAACCAAATGCAAGTTTTTTAGTGGATTGGAAGGTGGTTTGGATGATAGTAAGCTATCAAGCTTAGGAAAATATGAACAACAATAGGTGTGTGAAACCTATGACGAGAGGCCTGTGAGGACTTGTGTTCAAGTATATCTAAGCCTAAGTTGTTGCAAATGTAAATGCAAATGTTATGTTCAAAGTAAATTGAACATAGTACGAAAATATACCTCCATTGTGTGGAGATGAAGTTTGGTAAATGCACGTCTAAAGGATTGCATTACGAGAAAGCTACAAGCGGTAAGGAATTCTAGTTCCTGTGGTAGTTGTGAAGACATGATAATTTATTTATCATGTATGTGGTTTAGGACTTGATGTTTCCTATGCCATGAGGGAAAGGAAATGATGCAAGATTGATCATTATAAGGATTGTATAAGCTTGCCAAAGAATGGTGAACTTCAAAATAATCATCGTCAAAATTGTTTGTGGTATATGTACACTATACCATTGGTAAACAATTTGACTTACGATAATTGTGTGTAGCTATGTGTCAGAATTGTTTATGGTATATATAGATATATATCATTGAGGAAAATTTTGGCATGAGAGCTCAATTGAGATTATCATGTTGAACTTAAATATATACCATTGGCAAGTAATTAGACTATTGACTTAGAAAAGTCATCGGAATTACTTGTGGTATGGCAAGCTTCTTTGGCTAATGCCATTAGGAAGTAATAAGATCTGAATTGTTTGTGGTATGTTAATCAAATTTGATCATACTATTGGTAAACAATTAGATATATATAGTGGTTGTCAAATTCAATAAGTAAAACCATGAAAAATAAATGGGATTATTACATGATGTTTGGAAAAGGGTAGAATTGTGGGGGAGAAGAGCTACTATATCAAGACCCTACAATGGGACGCAAACATATCCATTAAACAAAAGTGGAAAGGTAAACGAAGTCATACTTGAAAGTATGAAGGTGTCTAATAAAAAAGTGAAAGTCCTTAAGCCATGTGGAGTTAACCAAGTCCAAGGGTATAACTTATGAGTAAACTTTAGCATATATTGACGTTATGCCAAAAAGTTAGAATATTTATTGATGTTGATCCGCTCTTCTCAAAGAGATTATTTTGACCATATACATGAATATATATGAACAACATTCTCCATATCGGAAACTTTGGTTTCAACAACTATGGCGAAATAGTTGAAATGTGGGGGATAAATTGGGGAGAAGTGATGTGGAATGTCGCTTGGGTGATTCCAAAGTGAAGTGATGTGAATACTTAGGAGTTTTACATAAACCCTAAGTTAAGTCATAAATGTCACTACATTTGCAGAGATACTTGTGAATCTGAAGTACTCTAAGGTTAATGAAGTAGAGCGACTTCAACACCGTTAGCATGTGTTATGATTATTGCAATGCAACAAATCAAGTCAAGCACACATGATGTGTAGTGAATCAAAAGAGATGAGTCTTTGGTTTATTGTACCCAAAGGGAACTCACCAGATGAACCAAAAGGCAATCTATTAATGGATATGCATTTATGGTTGATAGGGAGCAGTATCTTGGGAAAATTTCCAAGTTAAAATATATACCCACTCTAAGATCGGCGAATTTCGATAGTACGGCCTGCAAAGACTGGTGTTAATAAAGCGCATTTGTGCACAAAGTTGTTATTGCAAGGGCTAGAAGTGTTATGTGAAAAATCTCGTCATAGATAATGAAAACATAACACTAGTTATTGGTTAATTTCTAGAGAAGTTATCAGAGATTATCATTTTAGATCAAGTGATAACAAAAGTGAGGGCCCACCTAGAAATTAATTAAATCATCGAAGGGAATGGACTCGTAGCCTAGGACAATTCATCATGGCGGTAACTCTACATAAATAGGATTGGCAGACCCAACCTCTAGGTTCAAGGAGCATACAAAGTTGTGAATGATGGTCCCCATTGTCAAATTATTCAATGACCATTCTCATGATGAGACAATGTCTAACTATAAGGGTAAACCTAAAAATGTGAAAGGTTTTTAATGGTTTCTAAGTTTGACATGTGGTGTGATCAAATAGTGTATTTTC